TGTGGGATCTAGCACCATAACTACCTTTTCTTTTCTTTTCTTTCTTTCTTTTCTTTTCTCTCTCTCTCTCTCTTTTTATAGAGAAAGAGAGAGATCTTTGATATAGTGTGTATGTGCTCATTGGAGAGACAGAGAGACAGAAAGTGAGAAATCACTCCTCAAGGGAGTGATTTCAGAAAAACTATGAAAAACAAAACAAAGAAATTGAATATGATACACAAAAATGGAAAGATATTTCATGTTCTTGAATGGGAAGAATCAATAAAATCAAAATGTCAATTCTATTCAAGTTAATTTACAAAGCCAATGTGATTCCAATCAAATTATTAGTAACATTTTTTACAGAAACAAAAAAAATCATAAAATATATCTGGACTCCTAAAAGACCTCATATTGCCAAGGATATACTATGTACAAAAATAAAATAGGACATACCTGACATCAAAATAAAAATCAGTGATGATCAAAACAGCCTGGTACTGGCATAAAAATAGACACACATACCAATGGAATAGACTAGAGAATCCAGAAATTAATCCACAAATATACTGACAATTGATTTTTTTTTAGAGGTTTTTGCCATTGGGCATGTGCACTTGCTGGGGAAAGGGAGACAGAGACAGAGAAAGGGAAAGTGAGAAATCATCCTCCCAGGAAGGATGGCCATGCCATATTCCTTTCTCCTCCTGGAATCTTGGACATGCATGCACATGTGCCCAGAGTGATTTTCAAGCCACCGAATCTGGGTCTCAATCTGCAGTCAGTAGTGTAGGAGTCCAGCGACATAACCAGTACACCATCTGCCGGCTCCACCCTCTGATTTTTAAAAAAGGGCACAAAACAATCCAGTAAAGAAAAGAAAATCTCTTGAGCAAATGGTGCTGGAAGAACTGGATATTCATTTGCACTGAAATAAAACTGGACCCCTATTTATTACCATTTATAAAACTCAATTCCAAGTGGATCAAAGAGCTAAATGTAAAGCCTCAAAAACTACTGGTGGAGGGACCACAGTTAGCATAATGGCTATGTCACTGGACTCCCATGTAGTCGACTGTGGTTCAAGTCCTGGACCCAGTGGCTTAAACTCACACTGGGCGTGTGTACATGCACGCCCAAGATCCCGAGAAGAGAATGGAGGAAAAGGGAATGCGACGTGACCATCCCCCCTGGGGGGTGGTTTCTTGCTTTCTGTCTCTCTATCTCTGTCTTTCTGGTGAGCACACGTGCCCTATAGCAAAAAAAAAAAAAAAAAAAAAGAAAAAGAAAAGAGAAAACCCTTTAAAAAAAAAAAAAAGAAAAGCAAACAAACAAAAATCTACTGGTGGATAACCCAGGGAAAATACTTGAAGATACTGAAGTAGGGGAAGATATCTTAGATAAGACTCTGAAAGTGTGGATAGCAGTTCCAGAAATAGACAAGTGAGATTACATCAAGCTAAAAAGCCCTGCACAGCAAAGGAAACAATAAATAAAGAGAAGAGACAACCCACTGAGTAGGAAAAAAAATATTTGCAACCTATGCTTCACATAAGGAACTGACAACCAGAATATATAGGTGACTCATGGAACTTACAGAAAAACTGAATAATACAATTAAAAAATGATCAAATGAGCTGAACAGACAACTCTCTAAGGAAGACATGTAAGTGGCCAAAATGCACATAAAGTTTAATTTCTCTTCATAAAGGAAATGCAAGTCAAAACTATAGTAAGATACTAACAACCCCATTGAGAATGGCTATGATAAAAATATAACTTTTAAAAAAAGTGCTGGCAATACTATGATGAAGTGAACCATCTCACATTGTTGGTGGGAATGTAAATTAGTACAACTGCTGTGGAAAACAAGATAAAAGTTCCTCAAAAATTTGCAAATGGAACTACCATATGATTCAGTAATCCTACCCCTTGGTGTATACTCAAAGGATAGAAAAATGCTCAGTTGGAAAGACACTTCCAAGTTTATTGCAATATTGTTCACAATGGCTAAGTCATGGAATCAACCCAAATGCCCAAGAACTGCTACATCAAAGATGTGGCACATATACACTATGGAATACTACTCAGCTATAAAGAACAATGATACCCTCACAGTTGATACAAAGTGCATGAATATAGAAGATTTAATGCTAAGTGAAACAAGCCAGACTATGAAAGAAAAACATTGTATATCTCTGCTCACTATATACTGAATGTCTGCACTCTATGGCAGAAATGGAAATATTTGAAGATACAATAGCAGGGAGGGAGGGCAAGTGTAGACACGAGATTCTGTATATATATATATAGTAATGTCTTTGATTCGATTGTCTCCCATTGCATGCATCCTTCGAAAAACCATATTTTATGCCCTAAAAATGTACAATGATTAACTGTAAATAAGAAATTATAGAATAAAAAGAGAGAATACATATACTGCATGTTAATGGACTTTCATAAAAAATGAGGTCATTTATATAAATTTGCAAAGAATGCATGGTAATAAAACAGACTGAATTTTATTAAAATTGACCACAGCAAATATTCAGAGGAATTATAAGACATTAAAAAATAGAAGGATCTTAGAAGTCAGTTAATTTTCTAATTTTATAGATGTGACTGAGGCCAGGAGAGTATAATCATTATGCCAAGGTACACATCAGTATTTCTAGAAGTTTCTGTATATGAAGTCAGTATTTATGAGAGATGAATCCATTTGTGCAGTAGCAGGAAGTCCCATGGATTTGACAGCTGGGATGCTGTTGCCCTGCTCTTGTCTCAGTAACAAACACGCTGCATGTTAGCAGCATGCCAAGTTACTGCTGGGCCTCAATTTTTTTTTTTTTTTTTGAGAGGTCTTTGCCATAGGGTGCATGCGTTTGCCAGCCAGACAGAGAGAGACAGAGAGACAGAAAGCGAGAAATCACCCCCCGGGGGGATGGCCACACCACAATCCCTTCTCCTTCATTCTCCTCTCGGGATCTTGGGCACACACGCACACGCGCCTGGCGTGAGTTTTAAGCCACCGGGTCCGGGACGCGAACCGTGGTCGACTACGTGGGAGTCCAGCGACATAGCCATTACGCTAACTGCTGGTCCCACTGGGCCTCACTTCTTCACAGTTC